TCGACTCCAAGTCCAACAAATGAGTTTGGAGGGGCGGTTCCATACAGCCATTCACCTTGCTCAATATTTCTACAACATGGGCACTCCATCGACCCCTTTGCATTATAAGCTGAACCAATACAATCTGCACATGCACGAGAAAAAATATATATATCAACAAAACAATACTAGGGATCTATGTGTAATAACAACAGCGAATACAATTAAAATGACCAAACACTTGATATTGATACACATGATATATATGACATAAAATGAGGAAGAACAAATAATTAACTTTGACTATATATATCTTCCGCAACACAAGCCACAAAACACAAACAAAAGAATTCATAAGATTTGTGAAATCAAGGATCCACGGTTCTACAAATGAATCAATAACTGAGGTATTTGAATATAAATTCTAATCAACGTAAGCAAATCAATAAAATAGGGTTTTGTCTTCTTTTTAAATCCCATTCAAATAAAACAAAAGAATACACAAGATTTGTATAATCAAGGATCCAAGATTCTACAAATGAATCAATAACGGAGGTAACTCAATATAAATTCTAATCAACGTACGGAAGCAAATCAATAAAATCGGGTTTTGTCTTCTTTCATAAAAAGGTCCCACAAAATAAAATAATTTGGTTCACACACAAAAAAAAAGGTTACCAAGGTGAAAGTAATGGTTGCATCGAAGCTTGACAGGAGTTCGACGATCATCAGCAAATGAATCGAGACAAATCGAGCACAATGCGTTGTCGAGACAATTGCAATGGAGAGCGCAAGCCATTCGGTTTTCGTTAGATCTATTATCACTCTCGAAACTCATAACTACAACAAAACCCAAATCGAATTACAAATATCAAATCTCTCAGAACAAAGAAAAATAAACCGCTATGTTCTCTAAGAGAAGCAAATACTGTTGTCCAAAACTTCATGGATGGCTTAAGTTTATATAGAGGGGCTAAGTTCTATCTTCTTACACTCTTTTGCCAGCATGACATTTTTCTCACTTTTCACCTTTTTTTTTTTTCCAATAAATGTTAGTCAATTTTTTTTCTTTGAT